AAATCATGGCATTTTCTAATATAATATTAGCAGCTCTATTCAGAACATAAACATGCAATATGATTGAAAAGACTACCTTTTAGAAAAAAAACACTGATTGCAGCCTATGATTATAATAAGCAAGCTGACTTAACTACATTAATGGGAACAGTGATAAACATAACATACAATAGGAGTGGTCATATCTACATAGTCTAGCAAGCACATTCCTGAGGGAAAAAAGTGTGTTACACACACACAAATATTACAATCATTATATTTTAGAATTAACCATATACTAACAAGTTTTCCAGACCAAAAAGGAAAATCCTCCATTTAAATGCACTATAATCTAGGGATGAAACCAGTTTGGACTATTCCATTTATAACCACATGGAGGAGCTGCATACCAACATAATGAATGCAGACTCGTTCTACTGACCGGGATTATATTTTTGTGCAGGTCTCATATCATTGAAAAAAAGTGGTTCAGCCCCTTTTATTGCTGAAATAATCCAGCTTTGTGTGTTTGGCAGATGAACCACCTGCATGTTTGTTTTTACAAAAAAATAAATAACACTGCTTATGAGAGTTTGCTACTCGGTCAGTCATTCAGGAGTTTTCAGAACTCTTATGTAGGGTGGTAATGGTGGTGATGGTGGTGCTCATGATGATGATGGTGTTCATGTCTTTGAGGAACAGGCATAAAACCCCCAGGAGGAACAGCTGGCCCAGGCTGTAATTCTCTGTCATGGTTACTTCTGGAAGGTGATGCAGTCTCACGGGCTCGTGCTCGGGTGCGTTTGCTGGAGCTGTACAGCAGAGGTTGCTGCTGCTGCTGCTGTTGAGATGGATGGCACCAGGTCATAGGGTGATGCCTATGGAGCTTGCTGGGTTTGGTTGAGGCTCCACTATAACCGACAGACTTGCTGCGGTTGCGGAGTGACCTGAGGAAAGGAATGGATTTTCCAGATGACTCCGCAGGGCTGCAGGTCTCAGGTTGAGAGCGACGATGATGGTTATAGGAAGAGCCGTCCTGAGGCTGCTCCTCAGCACATGTTTCTGGAGCTATGATAGTCACATAAATTATATTTAAGGAAGCTCTAAACATCTAGTCTTCTAGAATTAGAATAGAGTAAAACTGAGCTCAGCAATTTTTACTGGCCTTATGAAAAATATCTTGCTGAAAAGCAGAGAATAAATATTAAGCTATCAACTTCAAATTGAGAAGTATAGTTCTCAATTCCAGCCAGATAGTGATTCCTACGTTCTGTGTTTTCATCTACAGAGTAGTGCTTCCTCTCCGAAACACCCAAGTGATCCGAGTTCAGTTGTCTGACAGAAGAAAATCATAGAACAGAAATCACATTATTAAATATTGTATCAGTGGTGTTGTTGTTAACTAAAACAATTTAAAAATGTTTCATTAATTGAAATAAAGCTTAAAATAAAATATTAAAAGACAAAGCTTTATTAGAAAACATTATTAAAATTAGAAATGTTGGCAAATAGTTGAAATAAGCACTATGATTACTAACATTTTAATTTAAAATTAGCAAAAAATAAAGAACTCAAATTCAACTAAACTGAAATATAATTAATACGAAAAGATTAATAAATACTTTATTAGCAATTCATTCATTCTAAAATACACCGAATTTTAACTATAATTTTACTTCATTTTGTTATAATTTTGTTCTCCTGGATAAATAAAACACTTCTTATATAAATATTTCAAGAAAAACGTATGATTCACTCATATACTGAAGACTAAAATTTAAAAAAAAAAATTTTAAATCACCTGATCTGAGAATGAAGGATCTCTGCACACCGTACTGCATCCTCCATTTGATCCCGCTCATTTTGAGACATTCCAGCATCCCGATCTCAAGGAGTACAAAAGTAAAAAAAGGAAGTGAGTAACATTGCATTATAACAAGATTATTTCAGCAGAGCGATCAAACACTGCCTTAACCATTTGTTTATCATGATAGGTTCAGTCTTCACCGTTTCTGTTGCCTTTTCTGCCAGTTAATGGAGTGACACTCAGCTTCACACGCAGGGTTGTGGCATTGCTAAGCACCAGCTGTTTGACTGATGCCTCAACCACCTCACAGATCGTTTGCATCAGGCTCAACATATTCTGCAACAAACACAAGGAGAGAAACTCACAATAGCTAAATGATTGTTTATCTCTTTAATGAGATGGTAGGTCTTCTGTCGATACTGAGCTTTACCTCTCTGGTTATTTTCCCATTGTTGTCCAAATCATACAATGTAATCATCCACTCTTGCCGATTTTCATCCATGACAGACACATTACACTCCTTGTCCTTATATCAACAGCACAACAATGGAAGGATTTGCAATCATTTTTGTATCAGCATGACAATATGTTTATTGATCAAGATAGCCTACAGCTCAGAAAACAATTCTCAAATTTTGAGTAAAGTTTTAGCAAAGCACTCTTCGTTACCATTTAAAGGGGTCATATGACGATGCTAAAAAGAAAATTGTATGTATTTGGTGTAATGAAATGTGTTTATGCGGTTTAAGGTTAAAAAAACATTTTCCACTACTGTACATTGTTTCTCCTCTATGCCCCGCCTTTCTGAAACGCA